ATTCAAAAATGTAGTGAAGTAAAGAGTAAAAGTTACTAATATCTTTGATACTCAGTACAACTACAAAGTACCCGAAAAGATACTCGAGTACAGTAACTAATTACATTTACTCCAATACTTTATACCTCTGGTAGTGTTTGATTGTGGCATGACATTGAAAAAGCAAAAAGGTGGCATACATAATACATCTGCAACACTGCTGCTGAAGTACTCTGGCAAAGTGAAGCTGAAAGGTTCTACGCAAGAAGCCCACTGTTTTTTTTCTCCAACCGCGCACCAGATTTTCCTTGAAACTGTCTGTGCCTGTTAGCCTCGACCTTAATTTACCTGTTTCAGCTTAACTGAATGACATATGTCTGTTGGATTCACATCCACATCTGCCAGTTTTAGTGCCAAACGTTTCTCAGATTCTCCTTTGACACAGTTTATTCACAGTTTCGTTTTAAATGAGTCAAATTGCCACAATTACTCAATCCCCAAATGTGCTGTAGACACCTTGTTTAAGTTGTGTGTAGGCCTACTCGCTTGCTTCACGTCATCTCCTGTCTCACATTGATTCTGCAGTTGTTTAAAACATATGTTAAGCGCGTTAACCTGCTCGTAGCACATAACATCAGGCTGATAATGCGACTTGGTTTTACAGGGCCGAAATGGAGCTGATGGAGCCAGAGGAATTCCTGGAGAATCGGGAGCCAAGGTAAAATCACCTCTGACTCAAAACCTCCGCTTTCACACAGTTAGCACTGCTTGAGGTTTCAGAACTGCTTCTTTTGTATTGAAAGCCGGGAATGGGGAGTGTTTGTTACTGTGTGACTGTGTTATATAATTACTGATTTTGAATTAATGAGTTCATTTCAGTTAAAAAAATTATTAAAAAAATTCATAATTAATAATGCAATTAGTGCAGCATATGTTTTTTTTTTCACTGTTTTATTTGTTATAATGTAATTATGTGACAATTGTTAATTTAAGGAAGTTTATTTAAATTAAAAGTTGTTATAACATTGATAATGTTATGGAATTATATCAATAATTATCAAATGATCAGGCTAATGTTTTTATGATTTGCAGTTTAGGCCTAAATAATAGCTATAAGTGCATATTTTATTCTCAGAAAAAAAAAAAGGCCAGATGTATTGTTTTTTATATCTATGACCCCCTGGCCTTGATAATGCTTGGTAAAAAAAAGATCCCATGAAATATATATATTTTTTAAATATACCTATTTTTTAACATTAATTTGAAAAATTATTGTGTAAATATATGCTAAATAATATTTGTGATTACAAACTTTATTTGTAGGTCCAGTTAAGCGTGCACACACGCGCACACACGCACACACACACACACACACACACACATATATATGTTTAAATCAATGCACAGTAACACAGAGTGTAATAAATGCATTAAAAACATTACAGAATGATGCACTTATGTTTTAACTTTGACAGCCCTATTTTTATTCTCATTGTTGTGATTGCTGTCTTGCAGGGAGACCGAGGATTTGATGGACTTCTTGGTCTACCTGGTGAGAAGGGACACAGGGTAAGTGCTGCTGAGCTATTCTTAAGAAAACTCATACTTAGGTTCTCATGATTGTTGTAATACTTGAAATGAAACGGAATTGTTCTAGACAGCAGAACGCAAGCCTGACCACCACCCGTGAGAAAAATTTATTTTTAATGCTCAGTTATCAAACATCCAGCTTGTCTCGAACAGCACTTTATGATTATGGGAACAATTCTTGCCTGTTTTCATTTCATTCCTCAGCAGCGGTTTTCCTAGAGAAGTCTACTGTATTGCCTTAACTTTATTTGAAAAGCTTCTTTTCGGCTCCTGCCAAGACTGAGTGCATTTTTATAATGTTCCATGTCTGCCACTGTACGTTTTGTTTAGCATGCTGACAGTCATAGTGGCAGGAGAAGTTGAACTCATTATAGTAGGACTGGGGTTGTTTGGCATGCTTGCGTTCCTCTTGCAAATGAAAGCTGCCCTCGCTAGGCACAGCAGAGTGTGACTTGCTTGGCCTGGGCTAGTATAGTGAAAGAGGCCAGCAGATCACAGGGAGTCGTGTATATTTCCAGCCAAGTGGAAATAGTGCTGTCTTCCTAATCCTGCCCTGGGTAATTACAGGCCCCGCTATGTTATAGCCTCTTCTTATAGGGATGCAGTCTTATAAATAGTGGTCATGGGCCCTAACAATGCATGGAGTCAAAAGCAGGCAGGGACAGTAATAATACATTTACTCTTTTTCTCCCTCTGTCATTTCATCTCTTTCGTTTTCTTTTTCTTTTAGGGTGAGGCAGGTCCCATTGGCTTACCAGGCCCTCCAGGAGAGGATGGACCAAGGGTGCGTTTGACCAAGTGACACATTCATTTCTTATTTGGATTCATATGTACTTGCATAGGTGTGCAGACACATTGACAAGCATGTCTGTGCTCTTGTCTGCAGGGCGAGGATGGTGAGATTGGACAGAGAGGAATGCCAGGAGAAAGTGTAAGCATCTCCTCGCCATTTCCATTTTATATTCCCTTGTCATATTTTGAGCACCAAATCAGTATATTAGAATGATTTGTGGAGAATCATGTGACACTAAAGATTTTGGAGTAATGGCTGCTGAAAATTAAGTTTTACCATCATGGCAATAAATTATATACTGTCAATTAGAAAATGTGCAACACTCACTCTTGAAGAAATCCAACTTTACTGGTTAAAATACATGTGACGTTTCAGCCATTATCCAGGCCTTCATCAGGTCTGATGAAGGCCTGAATAAAGTTGGATTTCTTCAAGAGTGAGTGTTACACCTTTTCTAATTGACATGACTTTTTGATTTTTGGTTGCACCTCCTCTTCTGTTGGTAGAGCACCTCTTTTTCAGCAATTTTAATAAATTATATATTAAAATATAACCATTTATTTTGAATCTGAATAATATTTCACAATATTACCTGAAGTCTCTGAGACCCCAAACCCAAGTAATGTGACCTTTCCATGTAAGGTGTGTATTATCGAGTTAAAATTGTGTGTATAATCTAATTAGGAAAAGTGTATCAACTTGATAGTTCAACGTTAAGCATGTTTTTGGGCCTTGGGGCTCACAGGACAGAATGTGAGGGTTATTAACTTCACTTGCCTAAAAGACCATGACTGCCCACTATAATCACTCTTCATGCCCCACCCTGCTCTTTCCACCTCAAATCTCAGTATTTGTTGCTCATTGCTCATCGAGGTAATGTCTCTGTACAGGAAAGGAGCGCAGTAGTTTTCTATTTTCTCCAGCTCTCTTTCTTTCGACACACTAATGGTCTCACATATTTTACACGCTTTTTGACTAAATACTCCTTCAGCAGAAATTTTACAAATAACAGAATCAGCCCTGAAGATATGGAATCTAATTGGAGCAAGTCCCCCAGTTGATGTAGTGAACGTCTGGATCTACAGCAAAAACCCAATGTGCCTTTGTTTCTGTTTTGCATAGTTGCAAACCATTTTGAATTAATAAAAAAACATCAGGGTGTCCTTTCTTAAACTTTGTGTTTTGTGCTGCCTGTAAAAATAACAATTAACCTTTATTTTTCCCTTAAGATGATTTTAATGAAGCTTTAAGCAGTCTAGACCACAAAGTATACATACTTTTGAAAAATGTTACTGTTATACAATGTAATATCCACCAGGTATTTAAAAAAAAAATTGTAGTGAAAAAAATTTAATTTGCATTCAACAAAAATATAGAGTTAACTTCAACCACAGCTCAAGCTCAGCAGAATGTTTCTTCCACTTTAAAAAATAAACATGTAATGCACATTTAAATGACTCATCAATAATGATAACATTTTAATAATATTGTAGTTTAATCATCATCATAAAGTATATAAATCACAATATATACCTATACTAATACCTAAACCAGGGCCTGTGGGCCAAAGTTGGTCCATGATGCCTTTTGATTTGTTCTGCCATGCCATATCACAAGACGGGATTAATGCGATTTAGGTGAATACCATTTTTTAAATGTAAATTTTAATATAATATTTGTTTACTAATTAACTTACTAAACATTATGATTAACATATGATTATTTAATGTAAATTGAAATGCTTACAAATGTCAGTAAACTTTCAGTTCATATGATCTTCATTTGTTGGTCTTTGTTTGTTGTGTAGACCTCTATTTACAAATCTTAACAAATAATAATTATTATTACTATTAATTATTTGTTCTTGTTTTTGCAGTACCCAATCTAAAGTGGAAACTATTCATCATTTGTAAATGTTTATAAGCGATTACTGATCATTTAGTATCTTTATGGGCATTTGACTTATGTAACAAGGTTTGTGTAAAGGGTGGCTGGTTAAGTTTAGCTAAATGCTTGCTAAAAACAAAACAGATTGTAATTTTGGTGCAAAAAAAGTTTTTTTTTATTGCCTCAACACTCACATTAGTAAACTACTCTTCAGTACATCATTAAACAGGATATTCCTTGAATTATAAATAAACAGGGGAAAACAAATAATTTTTTAAAGGAAAATACTTGTTCATTTATCAAAACAAAATAATATAAACAGATTGAACCGTGTTCCCTTATAATAATCAAACTGACCCCTGTACACTGTTGACCCTTTAACCAACCCTTAAACCTACCCATACCACCAAACCTGTCCCTAACCTTACCCGTATCACACCTCAATAGCAGCTAAAATGTTGTGACTGTTTCCTGATCCTGGGAGAGTAGACTACAATGCCGGCTGTTCTGACTCACAGACTGTAAGTACGTTTTTTATATTTAAAGAATTTGCCACAAATGCAGACATGGTTTTATGTTTACGCAGTGCGATGCAACGATGCAATATTTGTTAAAATAATTTGTAGATTTTCAATAAGTGCTTGATCATATGGAATTGAAAGTTTAATGACATTTGTAAGCATTTTAACTTACATGAAATAATGATTTGTTTGAACATTATCTAATGTTTAATAAGTTTATTAGGAAACATTAACAAACACATTATCTCACGTTTCTAACTCTTTGAATTTATATTAACTAATGATCCATTAAGCATTATATAATGTTTGTTAATGATTTATTAATGAAAGTTATTATAAAGTGTTACCTATTGTTGGATATAATGCAACATTTACTTTCAGTCCACAACCCTCAATGAAATTTGTTTTTTGGCTCTTCATAGTAGAGTTTGGCCAAATCTCGTGTAAAAGTATACATTAATATGGTACTTGTTGTAACTCAAAATACAACACGTATGTAAAAGGGCTTCATGCTTCATATCTCTGTCCACCAAGAGGTATTTTGGCCTGAAGACCACTTGTGTTCAGTATAACAGTCTGATTAATTCTCACAATATGTCTCTTTTATTGATTACCAGCATTAATTTTATGAGTAAGTATTTCTGTTGTATCACATAGATCACAGTTATGCATCAGTATACATACATGTTTGGTCCAACTTCGTAGCTAGCAAATCAACTCATTTAGGTTTATTAAACGCTAGAAGATGCACTGGAGTTAATTTCAATAAAATAAATACAAAGAAATGTTATATTATCATAATTTATCAGCTTTCCATTTACTCAAGGTCTCTAACTACAACCTCCTTACGTACAATATGCAGTTTGTTGTGAAATTTTGCCCATCTCTATGTCTCTTCCTATTTGCCAGTAGTTTAACGCTGCTATAATAGATTTTATTACAGTAGTCTGTGCAATTCAGGAAGGAAGGCCAATGGAAAAAGATGGATTTGCAATTTTCACGTGTCTGTTGTTTAACATGTAGAGTATTTTTGGAGTTTGAGGTACTGGGACTGTTTTTCATATCTTTATAAAATGACATAGGCTCCCTGGAGCAGTGAAGTGTAGGAATAATAATAGTGTTGTGTACTAAAGTGTTTTTTTAAATGGTTCTAACAGGGTCCTCAAGGAGAGCCTGGACCGCATGGACAACAGGGTAACCCCGGTCCACATGTAGGTATCAGTCTATTGATCATCTTTTGTCAGTAGTCTATTGATCATCTTTTGTCAGTCTGCTCTCTCTCTCTCTCTCTCTCTCTCTGACTTTCTCTTAGACAACCTAATCTAGAATCTTTCAGTTTCCATTTTCCATTACATTTTGTGGCCTTTAGACTTTGTCTATTAGCTTCGAAGTAATCTACAGTATACACCAGGGAACTCCTAAAAGTTGACAAGAATAATATTTTGTAGATATACTGTTTGTACACTACTGTTCAAAAAGGTAGATTTATTTAAAGAAATTAATACTTTTATTTAGCAAGTACACATTAAATTGTAAATTATTGTACAAATTCAATAAATTAAATTTATAATGTTAAACGTTTCTATTTCAAAGAAATGCTGTTCTTTTAAACTTTCTACTCATCAAAACAAATCCTGCAAAAACATGTATCACAGTTTACAAAACTATTATGCAGCACAACTGTTTTCAACAATGATAATAAATGTTTCTTGAGCAGCAAATCAGCATATTAGAATGATTTCTAAAGGGTCATGAGACACTGAAAACTGGAGTAATGACTGCTGAAAATTCAGCATTGCATCACAGGAATAAATTACATTTGAAAATATATTCAAATAAATGCAGCCTTGCTGATGCCAAACTTTTGAACAGTAGTGTAAATGGACCAAAAATATATGCTAGCTGTGCATTAAACGATTTGAATGCACGATATGGAGGCCAAGAACCACCCGACGCAAAGTGGAGGGTGGTTGCTTCTGCGAAGTGCATTAAAATAGTTTAATGCACAGCTAGCCATGCATTATGCCGCTTATACCATGGTCATTTGCCAGCATTGACAACTTAAAAGCTGTTTATGATGTTAGCAGCGCAAATATTTAACAGGAAGGGTAAAAAAGGCAGTTATTTTTGTCAGTTACGGCTCGTTAGCTCTCGCATTCTGCCCGCTTCAAATCAGGTACGGAGATGAAATAGTGCGGTAAGACCACATTTATTTGAATGAATTATAGCATTTATTTGAATGAAATATCGATCGATCGAGAGAGAGAGAGAGAGAGAGAGAGAGAGAGAAAGAGAGATGACAGTTGTGTGTGAATTACCTGTGTCTGCGCATCTCTCTCTACAAACAATGAAGCTGTTTAGTTACTTCAAAAACAGCCATCCTTGCTGAGAAATATAATGTAGCGATCTAGTGTGGTATTTTATCAATAAAAGTTGCGGGGCAGCGCTGACATTAAGTTTCTGTGTGTGCACAGCGCAATCTGCGATCTCTGACCTCTCTCCCTCTCACTGTGTTTATGTGTGTGTGTGTGTGTGTGTGTGCATTAATTAAAGCAGCGCACTAATATAGAACGGTTTTAATGCATACCTGCCAGCCAATCAGAATCGAGTATTCAGACAGACCATGGTATAAGTTCATGTAATGCATAGAATTTTGTCCAATCGGATGCTTCCCAGAATGAAAAAGTCCCTCCCCCAATACACAACTGACTAGCAATTAGCATATCATGTTCATGACTGTGACATACATTTGCTATAGCTTTTTGGCTAGTTTAAAAAGAAAAAGGGAAACCACCCCTTCGATATCTCCCACACCATCTTCCTATTTTATTTGGAAATATGTCAACACAGTGATTTCATTGGTTCGATACATGCTCTCTTTACGCATTTTCGGTTGTATTCAGTTAAAGGTGGAGCTCAATGAACTGTCATTAAAAGAATGTGACAGAAAAAGTAATAGAAAGAGAAAACTGGTAGAGCCATTAATCTAAATCTGCATCCAAATTCCGTAAGAGTACAGGACTCGTATATTCACACAGTCACGCACAGAATAATGTATCCTTTTTGAAATTCTTTTTCAGATTTGACTGAGGGGTGCTCATACAGCTTTTTCCAATATAAACTTTACTATCATATTTCCCCTGAAGACTCCATATTGTACTATCTGACTTCTGAAATCTTGTCTTGCAGGGTCTGCCTGGTCCTCAAGGCCCGATCGGTCCACCTGGAGAGAAAGTGAGTTTGTGAATGAGAGCTGGCCACCCCGGCAGCCATCGTCTTTGTTATTACAGACGGCATTTTTCTGCCCTAACCCTATAAACGATTCATCAGACTCCTCGGTTTCTGAGCTGTAGGTTGCTCGCAGATCACTGCTGACTAGTGGAAAACTGCACGCGCACACACACACACACACACACACACATACACACACACACACCTCAAGACTCGCTAATGCTTTGACAAGCAGGAGATATGCTTACACACATAACTGTCATTGGTTAGACTCTCAGACAAGCATTTTGTCAGGGCTCCTGGAAGGAGGCCAGAGAGTCTGAAATGTGACTCCAGAAGAGGTGGAGTGTTTCCAGACATACCGTATGATTAGATATCTTCTTTACCAAAAGGAAAAAGATGATAATGAAGTGCTTTAGAATTGAACTGCTTATAAAAGTTGCCCAGCGAATCACTTGGGCACACCAGTAATCGCAGCTTTAATTGTGTGTTTTTCCTCCCTCTTCTTTTTCTTCCTTCTTTTCTCACTTAACCTCTTTTTTCTTTCTCTTTCTCTCTCTCTCATAGGGTCCCAGTGGGAAACAGGGGCTCCATGGACTGGCTGGGGCTGATGGGCCTTCTGTAAGTGGATGTTTCTTTATTTCATATTCTCCCCTCAACTAAATCTCCATGTTCACATCAAAAATACTTTGCATCATCACACATCATTAGCCAATAACCAGCTTGATGATGATCCTGGCTCAAGGGGAATATATTTACCTCGCACAATTTAGAATTAAAGTGTTGACTCTCTTTCAATCCATGAGTTGAAATTTGAATTGGAATGACAGGAAGTGGAATTTACTGAATTGCAGTTCAAAGAAATTCAACACAGACCCGACAGAGGGCTTTCATTAGTCCAACACAACATGCAAAAACAGAGACCTTTTTTGATTTCAGCCTGTTTCATGTGAATTGACATTTTGAAGACTTTAAATGTAGCATTCTAGGAAATGAAATTCCACTGTGGTCCATAAAATTATATATTTATTATTATTTATTTTTGGAGCAAAAATATTTATGGTAAAATATTCTAAGAATATATATGTTTATGTTTGTTTTTTTTTGTTTTTTTTATTGTGTTTATTGTAATGTTATTGTAATGGGTGTTTATGTCACAAATAAAAATATACATTCACTAAGATTTAGAAGTAATGTTTAAAAAAATCTCTTATATTGCATAAGGCTAAATTTATTGTATATAAATATCGTGAACATTACAATTAAATACAATATAAAATAAACGTTTCTATTTTAATATATTTTAAAATATTATTTATCTCTGTGATGCAAAGCTGAATTTTCAGCAGCCATTATTCCACTCTTCAGTGTCACATGATCCCTCAATAATCATTCATAATATGCTGATTTGCTGCTCAAGAAACATTATTATTATCTTATTATTATCACCTTTTCAGGATTGTTTGATAAATAGAATGTTCAAAATAACAACATTTTTAAAATGTATATTTTTTTAAAACAGTATAAATGTATTTACTTTCTCTTTTGGTTAATCATTTTGATGAATTTAACTTGCTGAATAAAAGTAAAAAAAAAAAAAAAAATTACTGGCCCAAAGTTTTGAATAGTGAATATATGTTTTTGTATGATGACATATTCATTATTTATTTATTTATTTATTTATTTGTGCTGCCTCAGTCTAAATACTAAGTGGTGCACAACCCCTAAAAATTTGATTCCTGCAAAAAAAAGATTATTATACTGGAATAGTCATAACACTGGCATTTTTATATATATTCTGAATACTGTATATTACTGTACACTAAATCCACAAGACCATACCCAGCTGTATTTGCCTCACATTACTTTCAGACTTTCACTGAAGATGCTTTTGTTTGTAATCTTTGCACAGGGTCATCCTGGGAAAGAGGGTCCTCCTGGGGAGAAAGGAGCAGCTGTGAGTGTATTTTTAGTTTGTCTCGAAATGAATTGTCATTCTAAGTTATTGAACACATTTCAAGTGCAAAGCCACTATACACCCATAATTAACACTGTCTGTAATTAACACTTAATGTGTGGCCCCTTTAGAAGTTTAAAACCTAATTGCCCTCTATTAATCCAGATTGATTTACTCTTATTATATTTACTCATTTCCTATAGGGCCACCCAGGTCCCCAGGGGTCCATTGGCTATCCCGGTCCCCGAGGCGTGAAGGTAAACAGGCTTGATTCTCTTCATCTCACTGATTCTTTATTATCAAAATGTTGTGCTTTTATTCTATCCATTAGAGCTTATATTCATTGTTTTGTCTGTTTAGGGTGCAGAGGGCGTTCGTGGCTTGAAGGGCAACACAGGAGAAAAGGTAAGCAAATGACCATGTCCCCTGTCTCCATTACTGAGCTCTTGGCTCAGCCTCTAAAATGAGGCACACAGATGACAGGCCAACAGCTAAAATTGGAAGGCCATTTCAGGGACTATTTGCACCAAAAATGGCTTCAATCAGGTGTAATGAGTGTGCGGTATAATGCAAAATCACATATGACTGGACGTTAGTAGAGATTTATAAGCAGAAAAAAAAAATGATAGCAGAATTGTAATCTGTTCTAATTATTGTTTTGTATATATACAATATTGTGGCTCAGTCTGTTTCAGGCTATACCCTCTGTACTGGCCACCAAGTGTCAGTGTTTCATTCACACAATAGTCAAGACTTTTGTTTCTAAAATGTATCATCATTGGTATGAAATATTAAGTCTTAATCTCTCGAACCAGCAGTTTTCACTATGGCCACAAGATGCCAGCATTTATCAATTATGTTCTTATGGAGTATTTGAAATTAGATTTTAAAAAATGCTTGAAAGTTTCATCGGTATTATTAGATTTTCACCTTGAAAGTCTATGAAATATTATTTTCATTGTTGTTGTTATTATTATGAATTTTTCTATTATTACTATTGTTGTTGTTGTTTTTATTTATTTTTTATTAACTTAAAGGAGTTTACATTTTATCCAAATAAATGCTCTGAATTTGATCAATGTTATTTCATTCCATTTTAACTTTTTTTTTTTTTTTTTAATGACCAATATTATTTATATCTTTTTGGTATGTATTTATTTAAACCTACATAAGTTTACATTTTTCCCAAATAAATGATCTGATCTGATTTGACTGTTTTCAGGGAGAAGATGGTTTTCCTGGGTTCAAGGGTGACATGGGCCTCAAGGGTGACAAGGTGAGTAACAAAGACTTACAGTAGTTACATTTAATTTCAATCAACACTTGTAATCACTTATGTATCACTTATTTGAGGTGAGTTTTAACCATTTTAGTTGTTGTATGTCTAATATAATGTTTGTGCATTGTTGCTGGTGTTCAGGGAGAGGTTGGTGTGCTGGGCCCCAGAGGAGAAGACGGACCAGAGGGGCCGAAAGGTAAAGCAGGTCCCACTGGAGAGGCTGGTTCTTTGGGCATGGCAGGAGAGAAGGTCAGTTTAAAACTTATTATGTTGAATATAAAGGCAAAGTACTAAAAATGACCAGCCCTGGAAAAATCTGTCAGGGATTATTAATATATGTGTGAATTAAACTTAAAATGACACTGAACTCATAATCATAAATTGATTTTGAATGCCAGTTTTAAATGTCAGCCAAATACTCCATTACATCTGCCATAGGCTTTTGTAGTTTGTGCAGGGTGGTGAAATGCTGTATTGTTATTGTATATGATGATTGTTTAAAAAACTCAAAATTAAAATGTGTTGAGTTAGTTCTTTTTTCTTTTCTTTTTTTTTTAGGGAAAACTTGGTGTTCCAGGTTTGCCTGGCTACCCAGGAAGACAAGGTCCTAAGGTAAGTACTGGCAAGTTTCCTGTTGCAACTTTATCATTATTTTATAAGTTACATTATTTATTTATTTATCAAAGCATCACTAAGTTTATTATCTCCGGTACAATTAATCATTAACCTTAAATGAAACTATGAAGTTATCATGTCTCTTAAACAGTGCCACAGTCAGTATTGCTTTATTTATATTTCGCTGCTTTTGACACGCAAGGCCTGCTGTTCTCTGATAGCCTGTGTTGACAGAGTTAATAGGATAAACTCATTCTCCATGACGCTGACTGCTTTATCTCTTGGCCACCCAGCATGCAATAAGTGCAAGCCTGTGAGCAGCTCAAGAATATGCAGACACAGTTTGTGGTGTTTGTCAGCTTATTATTTCAAAACAATCATTTCATTCAGTGTACGGGCTGGTCCACTCAAATAGCTTGAATTCTCTGGAATTCATTGATTATATATATATATATTTATATAATGGATCCTACTTTGTTTGAATAGCAAGTGGTGCAAAGCGACTTTGAAGTACAACCTGCTTTGTCAGCGATTTCAGCTCTGGGTTTACAGTTGATGTTTGGCCTGTTCAGGGTTATGTTCAAATTGTTTGAGGAGTGTCTGAAAGTGGAACGAAGAGTGGGGTTGTGTGATTATAATTTTTTTCCCTTTTTTTCTTTTTTTTGTCTTGTCTTGTCTTGTCTTGTCTTGTTTTGTTTTGTTTGTTTGTTTGTTTGTTTGAGTTCCAGTGATTTCTCTCGCTCATACATCACGTACGGATGTGCAATATATCAGTATCATATTGCTAAATGATGGGTACTGTTTTTTTTTTTCTTTTTTCTTTTTTTGGTAACACTTTAAAATAGGGAACACATATTCACTATTTCTTGAGAGTTTTCCCTCAATAAACTCATAATTTGCTGCTTATTAATAGTTAAGTTTAGGTATGTGTGGTGGATTAAGTGATCTAAAATATGGTCATGCAGAATAAGACATTATTTTATTATTATCATTATCATTATTTGCTTTATAGGTACTAATAAACAGCCAGTATGCTAGTAATATGCATGCTAATAAGCATATATATTTATTTAGGTACTGATGAAGGGTTGAACACCAAAATGTTTTGCACTTTGTTAGCTTTTTTTTCTTTTCTTTTTTTAAAGCTTTTTTACATTTTTGTGGGTATATCTTTTTTTTCCTCAATTTATTTAGACAAATAATTTTTGCCATTTATTGGCTATGGTGCATAACATGAAAATAATTAATAGCTGGCTTATCGTGCAACCAACGTGAGCATAACATGTTAATGGGTTAATGTTAGTGTTTTGATGAAGCATTAAACTTCTCCAAGTGCTGTTTATTTGTGTGTGTGTGTGTGTGTAAGAGGTGTAAAGTATTGGAGTAAATGTAATTAGCTACTGTACTTGAGTATCTTTTCGGGTACTTTGTAGTTGTACTGAGTATCAAAGATATTAGCAACTTTTACTCTTTACTTCACTACATTTTTGAATGAGTATCTGTACTCTTTACTCCACTACATTTGAAATGAGTGTTGCAGTTACACATTACATTTTGCATGCACCTAGCTTTTTCTGCAGCAGTTTATTTCTGCTACAAAAGACATGATACTGCCTATTACAGGTCACTGAAAGTACTGCATCTTATGTGTTTTGCGCTTACTCACCCAAACTTTTCAACAAGGCTACTTTATGTGAATGCGAGTTCCTTAAGTATTTGTGAATCACAGGTGTTTTATATATGAGATGAGGACATGACTGCAACATTATTTTATTTATCCATTATACTGAAGAGACATTTTTGAAAGATGTTGTTTTTTGTTTGTCTGTTTGTTTGTTTTGTTTTGTAATTTTGAGCTGTTCAGTTTTATTTTGGTTTTAGAAAATAAACGCAATTGCTCTCCTCACAAATCAACTCTTTCTTGTTTTTGTTTCATGCTCTGTGCCTTGCCCTGGACTTTTATGTCACTTCCTGTCTCCCGTGGTGTTTGCTTTTTAATTTTACTTAACATTATTTTATTTATCCATTATACTGAAGAGACCTTTTTGAAAGATATTGTTTGTTTGTCTTTTTTTGCAATTTTGAGGGGTTCAGTTTTATTTTGGTTTTAGAAAATAAATGTGATTGCTCTCCTCACAAATCAACTCTTTCTTGTTTTTGTTTCATGCTCTCTGTGCCTTGCCCTGGACTTTTATGTCACTGCCTGTCTCCCGTGGTGTTTGTAGTCAGTTTGTGGTCCGTTTGTTCATTGGTTCCCCTTGATTAGTCTCCCCAGGTGTGTCTTATCTTGTTAAGCTTGTTATTCCCCTGTGTGTATATATAGCCCTAGTTTTTATTTAGTTCCTTGTGAGTTGTTGAATGTAATGGTTGTCGTTGTCTGTTTGCCAGTCATTCTGTTCTTTGTTCCCTTTGGTTTTTGCCTTATTGTTTGTTCTAGTTTTTCCATGAAATACCAGCACATAGATCCTCTGCCTGTTTTCCGCAGCTTCTCCACAACGTTACAGTTTTTGACTGGTGTGTCTCTTTGACTAGTGTATCTTTTGAGCCTATATTCAGTACAAGTAAAATACTTAAGTACTGTTAAAATCAGATACTCTAAGACTTTTACTCAAGTTGTTTTGGAATTGGTGACTTGTAACGTGTAGTGGAGTAATTTTCACTGTAAGGTATCTGTACTTTTACTCAAGTATGGTTTTTAGGTACTCTTTACACCTCTGGTGTGTGTGTGTGTGTGTGTGTGTATTTTAATAAAAAATTAGATATTAGATATTTTAAATAATACCCAGAGTGGAGCTGGAGCGTTGTGATTAGTGTTCACTTTCAGTAGGGATGGAACAATTGTTGTTGGCCTTCTTCACTCACTTCCCCTGGTTCAGTCAAACTGGAGTGTTCCTTATTCTCTCTCTCTCTGTGTGTGTGTGTGTGTGTGTGTGTTTGCAGTTGTCTGTTTGATTTGCTCCATTATCCTGTGCAGGCGACCGTCCCATGGAGTAAATTACTGATGTGTATCCATTGTGCATAGGCCGCTTCCCCTTCTTTGCCTGCCAAAATAATTCGACCTTCAATTTCATCTCCTGTCCTTGTGCTAACAAGTGCACACCGCTCATGTTTATCAACTCCAAAAGCTTGCCCTCTCAGTATCCCCCACATAACATTAGCATTAGCTGTAATGTTGTTGAATTATTCTTCAAGGACACTCTCTCTCTCTGTCAACACAGCTTCACTTTTGCTCAAAAACCATAGTTTTAAAGGTGGGGATGAATATTGGATACTTTTGCAGAGAAGTTAGTGTGACATTCGCACGGTATAAAAACTGCTCCCCTCAATGTGTCTGTCAGTCAGTCTAAATCTGTCTCCATCTACAGGGCTCAACTGGTTTCTCTGGCGTCCCTGGAGCCAATGGTGAGAAGGGAGCAAGGGTACGTATGAGGACCTTTTGATTTCACTATAAGATTAGATTTCTTTTAACAAGCTACAGCCTGAAGGGAGCCATTTTTTTATCATACCTCTCTGGTTCTGATTACAAACAACTTATACCAGAAGTTGACTAGTCTTAGAACTCAGTTATTGTAATATGTAATGTAATATGTAATTTCATAGATGGTTGGCTTGGTTTTTTAGGGTATTGCTGGTAAAGCGGGTCCACGAGGACAAAGAGGACCAACGGTATGTCAAGTTTGAATCTGTTAAGTAGAAAGGAACTATTTTGTCTACATATGCTAATGATACACAAAGCTTGTTGCTAATAACTCTTGTTCTCAGGGTCCCCGTGGTGGAAGAGGTGCCAGAGGTCCAACAGGAAAACCTGGACCAAAGGTCAGGCTTCATCAGTCCTGTTTTAGTTAATTAGTTACTGGTATTTCTGAATGCTTGCTTGTAACAGGCACCTTTGACTGTGTTTCATTTTTTAGGGAACAGCAGGAAATGATGGACCAGCTGGTGGCCCAGGAGAGAGAGTGAGTGAGGGTTGAATTATTGCTTCCATTCAGTTGTATTTGTCAGCCTTTTCAGGTCAAAAACTTTTCCATTACATTTCCCTTACATGATTCTTTCTTCATGTTTTAGGGACCCCAAGGACCTCAGGGCCCTGTTGGATTACCAGGCCCTAAAGGACCACCTGTATGTGGTTTTATCAATTTCAAATGGTTTTGATCATTACAATGCTGTGGATAGAATTTATTCTATTCGTTGACTCACTTTAGAATTTCCACCACATAAGAAATTCATTTTTTAGGGAGAGAAAAGTCAAAATTGAGAAAAGAAGTCAAAATTATGCGATAACTAGTAATTTTGACGTAAATTGAAATTATAACGTAAAAATTCACAATTATTCATGATAGAAGTTTGAAATTATGACTTTTAATGTCTCATAAATTCTACTTTTTAACTCAATTTATTTTAACGTAATTTTACTTAATTTTTACTAAATTATTAAACATAATTGACAAAACAAATTGAAATGACGACATAAAACATTACAATTATAATTTTGACATTTAATGTGGTTATTTCTCACATGACTTACTGTTTAACCACCTGGTCTCAGGTGAGTTCTTAAATAAATAAATAAATAAAATAAATAAATAAATGTCAAAATTTCAACTTTTATGTCATAATTAATAATAATTAATAAATAATAATAATAATAATAATAATAATAATTGTCATAAATGACTTATGTTAAAATGATGACATACTAAGTATGACTTCATTATTTGTCATAATTATGACCTAATTATTCATCTTAATTGGAAAAATTCTAAATTATGACATTAAAAAAATGAAATTATAATTTTGGCATTTTGATGTCACAATTATGACTTTTATCTAATAATTTCTACTTTTTATGTCATTATTTTGATTTGCCAAAACATTATTGTTTTTCCTTATGTGGCTAAAATGGGCTTCTATCCATTAGACTGACTATACTGTAGTTCAAATAATGGGTCTAACTGTAACCATTAAACCACAAAACCTGAAGGAATGATATCCACAAGTCTATAAGTCTATTATATAATAATTACATAAATGTGATTTAATCACTATTCATTTTGTTATTCCCTCAGGGGCCTCCTGGAAAGGATGGATTGCCCGGTCACCCTGGACAGCGAGGAGAGACTGTGAGTATCGTTTTGTCTTCACAAGTGTTTTCTGTCTCTTGCGTAAAGAGGAATAAATGTTGTGGACAGTGTTTATATGGTGTATTACCTTTTAGCTGCTGACAATGTCAAGGTGCTACACTGCTCTTGGCAGGTCTATCTTTCTCCTTCTAATCAAGAACATCCAACAGATGGAGTGTTAAAAGGAGAAACTCATTTTATCTTAAAATAATCTCCTTTATTTTTTTCAAGATGAAAACACTGCACTTGACTTTTACTGATTTAAGGAAAGAAGTGGATGTAACGAAAATAAGAAAAAAAAAGACAAGTGCTGCTGACATTTCAGAGGCTGGATATGTACAGTTTAGTGATATTTACATAAAGTTTCCAGTATATCAGGTTTTCTTTTTCTCTACGTTTGTAGACACAATAGTTTGTAGACTACAATAAATTCCATTTAATGTCTCACAATGACTTGCTTATTCTCAAACAGGGTTTCCAAGGAAAGACTGGACCTCCTGGACCTGGAGGTGTTGTTGGCCCACAGGTGAGCAATAGCAGTTACTGTTATACAAGTAGAAAGTAAAAAAAAACAAAAAAAAAACATGTTGCTCTTATAAAACATCTCCTGCAGTTAGCCAGAAGTTAAATTAAAAACCTGTTTGAATTTGAAAGGGCTCTACTGGAGAAACTGGACCTGTTGGAGAGAGAGGACATCCTGGATCGCCAGGGCCCCCTGGAGAGCAAGGTCTTCCCGGAGCTGCTGGCAAAGAAGGTGGAAAGGTACAGTTTGTTAAAAATTGTTCACTTCAGATCACTCAAGGGTAATAACTGGGAATAATTCGCATAATGTTCAGTCCAATTTCACAATGTGTAGGTGGTTGGTAATGCCTACTAATAGCAGCTGTGGAGGTTGGTGGTTTTAAGTTTGAAGACTAAATTATCATCGTCTCTCTCCTTGAAGGGTGATCCAGGTCCTCAGGGGTTTTCTGGGAAACCTGGCCCTTCCGGACTGAAAGGGTTCGCAGGCCAAAGAGGGCTTCCTGGCGCAGCGGTAAGAACAAACGAGTTAATGTCATGTCCCCAACCAAATGGCCATTAGCTACTTAACTGTCTGCTGTTCATGCAAATGCTCACACTGGATGAATGCCTCAGGAGAGGTTACAGTCCTAACTATAAGACTGAGGCTCATGAAGATTAAATGACATATTTAACATGCATTAAAGGGTTAGTTCACCCAAAAATGAAAATCAGGCTGTGTTTTACTCACCCCAGAGGCATCCTAGGTGTATATGACTTTCTTCTTTCAGACGAATCCAGTCGGAGTTATATTAAAAATTGTCCTGGCTATTCCAAGCACTATCATTGCAGTCAGCGGGTGTTGCAGTGCTTCAGTCCCAAAGAAGTGAAATAAAAAGCGCACTTTTTTTTTTATGGATGGGTGCTTTTTATTTCACTTATTTGGGACTGAAGCACTGCAACACCCACTGACTGCAATGATAGTGCTTGGAATAGCCAGGACAATTTTTAATATAACTCCGACTGGATTCGTCTGAAAGAAGAAAGTCATATACACCTAGGATGACTCGGGGGTGAGTAAAACACAGCCTAATTTTCATTTTTGGGTGAACTAACCCTTTAAGACATTCAGCAAGCTTTTGAAATACGTCTTTAACACTGCAGAGAAACACAATAACCAGTAATATATAAATAGACAATTTTGATTTTATATTGTCTTTAATGCACAAAGGCTCATGATTTATTGGAAAGAAACTTGTGTGTACCAACATAATTTCTTGTTGAAGGTACATTTTAGAAAAATAATAAATTTTTAGTCAGATTTTACAGTCTCACAGCTGTTTCAGGACACCAAAAGTGCATGAGGTACTCAAATGACACATTACATTGTCCCCAAAAAATGTTAACCTGTATCTCATAAAATTACTGACTTTCAGTAAGTTTTAAAGATGCAGTTTAACATTTATTGTCCCTCTGATGTGGAACTCTGTGGGCTTGTAAATGACTTTGTACATAACAAACGGCCACAGTTGGCCAACTCAAAGCAGGCGTATGTCACAGGGACTTGGAAATGTCTCTTCTAGTTTTTCTTCATTAAGCGTATTTAAACTGTGGGACTGAATATAATCAAAAATTTTTAGTTTTTAGTTTAAGAAACAGCATATGACTTCTTGATGAATTACAGTCTCCACTAGTTATCTCTTTCATGAATCAGTTGTTGCTGAAAGTCACATTTGAAACACAAAGCCAGTATGAGTTCAATAAACAACAGTTGATTTTGTCGTCACTTGCTGTTTTGATGTTTACTTTTAGCTGGCTCGTATGTTTTATGACTCAGATTATGACTTGATGGGAGAAGAGTGACGTGTCCTTGGCGTCATATGACAATGCATTGCCAGCACTTGCTTCTGATGTAGGAAATTGAGAGATTGCCAGTTTTATAAACACTCTGGGCTGTATTTCCAGGAGACATATAGTACAAACAGCTGCCATATACTGGCAAAAACACATGCAAGCATACGCAGACTTTCAGATGCCACTTTGACAGATTCTGAAGCACAGCTCTCATTAGAGAATTAAACCGTCCTCTGTCTTTCTCACACAGGGTACATCTGGTCTGAAGGGAGGCGAGGGTCCACAAGGTCCACCCGGCCCTATTGTAAGTACCTGCGTTACCTTGGAAACTCTGTCACAGCAAACGATCAATCTGCAAGCTTTGCCTCTATTAGTGAAGTGACATCAGGCAAATTCTGGACCGGGCGCATCTAGCAGGTGGTGAATTTAATGACCAGTAATGTTGGCACTGAGAGCCCAGTTTGGTGTGTGATCTGATCCCACGCAGTCTGATCACGCTGAATGAGTCAGGCCTAATCAGTAAGTCCGTCACCACGTCAGTAATTGCATTTGAATCATACGCCAAATATGCTTAGAGATTCAGACCTGTTGTCATTAGGGATGTCAAAAGTACTGCAATTTTGATACAGTATGTGCTTGTGTGGTTTGTGAAGTGAACTCATGGTAATGCTGCTAAGCACTAGAACGATCAAATGTACTTCGGGCAAAATGCCTGACTTGGCGGGATATTAATGAAACAATTACATTACACGCTTAGTGTCAGAATATTGGACCTATGTATTAGGCCTATAATCAAAATATTGAAAAGGAAAGAGAAAAAATATTTATTTCTTAAAACTTGAAGCAGCTTAACTGAGAAATAATTTTGATATATTTTAAAATACTGTATGTAATATTTAATTACATTGAATACATTTTGCAAGGAAAGAGAAAAATATTTATATAAATATTACCACTTTATTTTTACTTGAATAGCTCTATAATTAATTATATTCCATTAGAATATAGTTCTCTTCTATTAAAAAAAATAAAAAATATATATATTATGTACTGTGTAATGAAATGTATTATCTTAACAATATATCTAATATACTGCATATATGTATGTATGTATGTATGTATAGAGAGAAAGGGAGTTCAAGTATAAATATTGTAATAATAAAAAACTGTAATATTTTCTATTAATATTTTACTTATACAAAAATGTTATTGATAAAATAAAAAATTGCATTATGTATATGTGTGTGTGTGTGTACACATAAAGAAAGTATTTAGTGTTAAAGCATTATTCACTAATATTTTAGATTAACATTTTTCTTGAACATTTATGTATTTTGATGAAAATTTTATGATATTAAAGAAGCATGTTCAATAGTTGAATTAAGTGGTGTTGAAAGTTGTATCAATAATCATGTTTCACTGTTCTTGCTATTTACTCTTGATATTTTGGTATGATGACAACCCTGTGATCATATAGAATGTAGAATAAAATAGAGACCCCATTCTGCATAGAAATAACATCCTCCCATTAAAGTAACTGCTGTTTGTCTTCTCTCGTAGTGCAGTGAAGGCACAGCAGTACAGCTTAAACCATCAAAGCTTCAGCTGTGCGCTATGTGAAGCCACTTTCAGCTTGAGGAAGATTGGTGTAGGGATTCATTGTCTCTCTTGTATAAAAAAGCATCTGTACAGCCCGGCAAGAAAAATCTCCTGAGTCAGTGGCCCAACCACGCCAATCAGCCATCTTATCTTTGCCTAAATAGACCTCCCGCAGGTGCCTGAATTGAGTCACCGGCAGCAGAGTACAACTCTTCTGAGAAGTTTCTAACAAAGAATTGAATCAGTTTGCACAGTGTGTTTTCCGAGAAGTTTGTCTGAGTGTGTTTGTGAGGTGGTATATCAGATGAGAAGTGAGTCAGAGCTGTGTGTTGTGTCAGTTTGATAGTAGGTTGTATGACTGGCCATAGTGTCTGTTGTGTTAGTGGACTGTTCATTGTGGAAATGAGCAGAAATTTCTATGTGGGGAAGTCGTGGTCTAATGGTTAGAGAGTCGGACTCATAACCCAAAGGTTGCGGGGTCGAGTCTCGTACCGGCAGGGATTGTAGGTGGGGGGAGTGAATGTACAGCGCTCTCTCCCACCTTCAATACCACGACTGAGGTGCCCTTGAGCAAGGCACAGAACCCCCAACTGCTCCCCGGGCGCCGCAGCAAAAAATGGCTGCCCACTGCTCCGGGTGTGTGTTCACAGTGTGTGTGTGTGTATTCACTGCTGTGTGTGTGCACTTTGGATGGGATAAATGCAGAGCACTAATTCCGAGTATGGGTCGCCATACTTGGCCACATGTCACGTCACTTATTTATTACACTTTTTTACTTTATGTTTATGCTTTTTTTTTATTTGTGCAAAGTTTTATATATTAAGCCAAATGTTTTTTTGTTTTTTTAAGATATCCACCTTATTGTTGAAGTAAGAGCTAGTCTGGCCATTTGTAACTTTTGTGTGTGACATCAGTGTCACTGTCATTTCAGTTATTTTAGCTGTACAAACACAATCCATTATATTGCTTGATACTGCAAATTGGCATTTTTTATCATATTATTTTAATTTATTATAAGGATCATAAACCACTGCTTTGTAGCACAAATTGTTATACTTTTTACTGCACTTTGTTAAGGCCTGTTAACACCAAGGATGATGACTATAAAGATAATGATAAAGATATAGTTCTAAAAATCGTTCTAAATATTAAAGTATAGCAGAGTCCACACCACAGCTATAACGATGAAAGGCACAGAGAAACAATGTCGTTAGAAACACTTTCAGAGCATTTTCTTTCCAGATGATACGATAAAAACATTGACACCCAATCAGAAACAATCCTGCTATTGTGAGCTTGAGAATTTAAAGCGTCAGACAACTAAACAGTCGAATAAACAGACGATATCGTCCGCTGGTGTGGACGCTAATATGGTTATCTTTATAGTTATCGTTCTTGGTGTGAACAGGCATTTATCCTTCTAGTTATTCACCTAGTGGTTAATTAATCGGAAGTCTTGCACATTCACAGAAAATAGCTTACTTTCATTTTGCAAAATAAGGTGGATACACCTCCATGCTTCTATTCCAATTCCTTGTCTTTCTAAAGAGTCTTGATCAGTTAGATCAATAATTCTCAACTGCTGGACTGATTAGTCAATGATGTTATTTATTTATTAATGTATTTATTTATTTACCTGTGTGTGACAAGGCAAGATTAGTTGAAGTTGTAGAATGCCATGTGGTGCAACTCCCCCCCAAAAAAATCATGATGCTTATAAATTAATAATTAATGGCGTGCTAAAAAAATGTTTCTACCTTTGATATATATATATGTGTGTGTGTGTGTGTGTGTGTGCCTTGCATGCGGTGTGGTGTACAGTGACCTTAACCCCTCCCTATGTTTATAAGCATTAAAGGGGTCATATGATGCTGCTAAAAAGAACATTATTTTGTGTATTTGGTGTAATGAAATGTGTGGCAACAACATGTGACTACCCCGGGCTGGACTCCGCTTCGTCCACGGTGAAAGCCGATCCGGCGATCCACAGCGCAAAGTTGTAGTATTTCCTCAGCAACCAGCACGGATCAGCTCCAGGCATGACGAAGCAGATATCGTCCTCTTTTGGAAGGCCAAACAAAGTAGTTTCGCTTTCACAACGAAACACACAGTGCCTTCACGACATGGCAGCGGCGGCAACAACAATACTACAGCGAGAATAAAAGTTACGCCTTCTTTCTTTGCCTGAACATTTGCGGGGCGTTATGCAAATCTTCCCACATAGTGATGTAGATATGTGGGGGCGTGTTAGAACGAGCCGTTTTAGGTAGGCGTGGTTGACTCTTAACTTTTATAAAGAATATCTCTTTGGATTTGAGACTTTAGTCTTTGCAACTTTACAGATCTTCTTTATGCACCAAGAGCTTGTAACACTCCAAAGAGAAATGAAAAATTTAAATTGCATCATATGACCTCTTTAACACTGCTGGCTAATGCAGTCGGATGAGGTTGTGAGTTTCAGCATGTGTTTATGTGCGTATGTGCATACATGTGAAAGCAACCGGATGTCTTTAAGTAAACGGTGAATAAAGCCCTCTCTCTGAGAGCTCTCTTCAGAGCTAACCATTCAGTGCTAATAGATGCTCTAATGGACTGTTTCTGAAAAAGACACGCTACGTGTTGGTTTTGAACCAGAGAGCTCGCTCTCTCATAAACTTTTGTCTGTCAGTAAGACCTACTGATACACTGTAAAAAAAAGAAATGTATTTAATTTGATACACAAATGTGCCTTAGTGTTGTTCAGTTCAGCAAAAGGATCTGTATGAGAACACGTCCCTTAGAGCCAAAACAAGCTACTGAATAACACGGTTCCCACAGACATGGAGCACCTGGAAATGTCAGTGATATTTGAAACTGGCCTGGAAAAGTCATGGAACTTTAAATGTAATGTTTAGCTCTAAAATATTTAATTAACTAGGTATTAAATAGATAAAATAAAATAAATATTTATATTTGAAAGTATATGTATTTATTATAGTTTATTCTTTTAATTGAAAAGATTGTTGCATGACATACAAATGAAAATTTGTCCAGACTCCATAATACAACTATAATACATATCTCTATGTACAGTAGTCATAAATGACTGTAAATGATTGTCCTGACAAAAAAAATGGCAATTGATTAGTAAGAAAAAAAAATGTAGGAAGTCTGGAAGCAACACACCCGACAGAAGAGCAATTGTTGTTGCAAACAAATGTTTGTTAGTGAGACTTTTTGCAGAAAATTGTTAATTTGGATATGCAAAAACAATATGTTAAACCAAGACTTGCTTTCTTTTAAAACTGAATTATCTAATTCGGTTAATAATCTCTCCTGGAATCCAGCTGTGTTCCAGTCAGATTTAATGGGATATGTGTGTCACAGGGGTCACCAGGAGAGAGAGGGGCAGCTGGACCAGGAGGACCCATTGGTCTAACAGGACGTAATGGACCTCAGGGACCCCCAGGACCTGCTGGGGAGAAGGGTGCTCCGGTGAGTGTGCATTGTTTGGAGATTTAAAAAATGCCAATGTTAGCTTGTACATTGTCCAATTGAATAAAAATAAGAAATTGTGCCACTTTTTGTTGAGATGAATAGCAAAATGAGGCCTAATTTACCTGAATTCAGAAAGTAAAATAGCAACTATGCTTTTGTCAGATGCAGCAATACATTAAGCGATGCACTAATGTCAAAAGATTCCTGTGGAAAACAATAGGGTCCAGAGAGAAAGAGTTTTAGTTCATTAAAATTCATCTTTTCAATAAGCACATTTACCACATATAGCTTAGCCAGTTTAATGCAGCATCCAAACAGAAACTTAATTCAGTTAATTCAGACTTTTACAGCACACAGTTAAAGCTGAAATCAATTAGTTGACTGAAAGGTTCTATAATAATTACTGAACATATTCCTCTGCATAGTGTATAAATGCTGTTAATCAATTGCAGTGGATCTGCCATTAGCCTTGTTTGCTCAGACTGCCTGTATTAACTGGATTAAAGTATTCCTCATAGGGTGTAATGCATAGAGGTCATAGCAGTTTCTTAATCTGCACTTTCAGACGTGATTATAAAATGTCATTTCTTAACTTCATGCAGGGTGAAAAAGGACCTTCTGGTCCTGCCGGTCGGGATGGTATCCAAGGTCCAGTCGGACTCCCAGGCCCAGCCGGACCTCAGGGTCCACCTGGAGAGGATGGTGACAAGGTGCAGCATTTTATTCCAAATGCTTCAGCATGACGTTTTAATCCATAGTCATCATGCCCATCTCACTTCTGCACACCATTTATGACAATGCGAACAGAGTTCTGACTTATCCATCACTATAACCAAACAAGACAAAATCATTACTATAGAGAAATGTTGAAACCAGTGAAATCGAGGTGTACACACTTCTGCACACATGCTAATAAACAAAGTAAACAAATGTGCTTTGAGGCTAATGTATTCCAGAATCTATTATTGCCCTGTTAAATGTAGAATAGTGCTATTTTAGATCCTTATCACGTCTCAAGCCACATTATTATTTTCGGCTGTGGCGGCAATGGTGTTGGAGGGGCCAAGTAATCAATTAATTGCAAAAACATCCAAAGGTCTTGGTTTTACTGTTAAATTAAAACCTCTGGAGTAAAGTTTACTCTGCTGTTGATGCTGAAGTGACCTTGAGAATTTTTTGATGACCAGGCAACCAGGGAAAAGTTGTAAACAGAGCTTGAAGTTACTTGATTTTTAAAAACTTTTTTTTTTTTTTTTTCCAGGGAGAAGTTGGAGGACCGGGTCAAAAGGGAAGCAAGGGCGACAAAGGCGAACATGTGAGTTAAACAGTATTCAAACAATTTCTACAAAATATTTGTATTTATATGTTTAATATTTTATTATAAATTAAACATTCAAAATAGTAATTCTATTTATTTGGTAACACTTTATAATAAGTTCCAAATTTTTTTAATGCATTATCTCACAAATCAGTTATATCCCACTTTTGCGACACCTTATGTATATACAGTATTATCTACTGTATTTACTCTGTGTCTGTATTTATTGTCCATATTTACTGTTGTGTTTTAGTCCTCAAGACTGTCTATTGCATGTGTCACTGTTTCCTGAGGGAGCTGTTTCATTTTTATCCATTGTCATGCAGTGTGCTAAAAATGAAAATGAAGTTAACTTTGACTTTAATGTTAAATAATAATGAGTAATAAATTTGTTACAGTATTTATCAATCTTTGTTAACTTTAATAAAAATACAACTGTTCATTATTAGTTCATGTTAGCTCAGTTCCATTAAATAATATTAACAGAAAAAAAAAATCAACTTTTGGTTTTAATAATGTATTAGTAAATGTTGAAATGTCCAAGATTAATACATTATTTAAAAGTATTTTTCATTGTTAGTTCATGTTCACTAATGTATGTTAACTAACTGAACCTTATTGCAAAGTGAAAATAAATTTGTTTTATTTATAATATTAATATTATAATAATAATACTATTATTTATAAATATTTGTTTACCTTTTTTTGCTTTTAGCTTTACACTTATTACACCTATTTTTACACAAATATTATCTTTGGCACTTCAAATGTTCATATGAGATCTAGCTTCTTCACAACCGGTCCCTAAAGTTGTCCTGATTGTCTGTTGCTGTAGGGTCCACCAGGTCCAGTAGGCCCTCAGGGTGTAATTGGAGCTCCAGGTCCTGCTGTGAGTACTTACAACCTTCCATTTGAGCCATATAGGATGAAACCCAAATGATCACCTCTTTTTTTCCCATTCATCCTGGAATTGTTGTTATGCAAATATATCATCTTCAATACTGCAGGGATTTCACACATATGAAGTATCTTCACTGCTCAAGCTTCCTTAGCCTAACTTGATTGTTTCTATTTACGCAGAGGTGCTGTGGCCTAGTGGTTAATGATCTGGGCTGTTAGCTAAAAGGATGTAGGTTTGAATCTTGCAAGGGGTGATGAATTAACCTTGAAACAATGTTTAAAGGAATAGTTTATGTTTGCAAGGCATAAAAACAATTGCATGTGGCCAAATGATTAGAACATTGTAACTACTGGCCTGAAAGTGACAGTTATGTCAACTGGACAAAATTTTCTCACTTTGGGTCATCCTGATTGTTTAACCCTGGTCCACATTGCTTCAAGGGGATTATCCTTGTAATAAGTGCACTATAAGTTGCTTTGGATAAAAGTGTCTGTTAAATGAATAACTACTCCCATTTGCTCAGTTTTGCATCTGTCAGGCAGCCTGCTGAGTTGATAAAGCAGCAATGAGAGTAAGTAGTCAGGGCCAGGTGGCACACAGTCGAATATTTAAAGTTTATGACTCAAGCTGAACACTCCCAGCTGGGCCTCTCTGTTTCCTTGATACATTAGCTCTATAAAAGCTGATAATTACACCTATTTTGTGCAGTTATGTGAAGAACATTCTTGGAAACTATGCAGCTTTTCTACTGAATAGGATATTACAAATTTGGAAACGTGTGAGATGTTAAATCTATTAGATGACTTGATGTTAATGCTGCTTAAAAAATCTTAGTCACTTAAATATAAGCAATATTTGTCTGGACCTTCTTTATTTATATGCATACATTATTAGGATTGTCACTTTATTTAAAAAATGTAATCAGAATAATTAAATGCAAGGATGTGATTTCCAGAAAAAATACAGTTTTTTTCCCATATGAAACACAAAATGGCCTTAAACTGTAACATGCATTTGAAAACGCAACACATGTCGACCATATTCACAGATTTTTTTTATAAGAATCGTTTGATTTTAGGTCTCCCTGTTTTCCACTAAAATAAAAGCTCTATGATTTTAAATTTGAAAGCAAAGAAATTAAGACTATTAGTAGTGTAATTTTACTGTTGTTCTGTAAAATTTTTATTATTGTTAATTGTATTTTTTTTTTTTTTAGAAAATTGATGGTGTGTCCGGTTTTCCTTCTTTTTTTGTCCTTCACTGATTGCATGCCTGTACATGATTTGCTGATTAACTAATTGAATTGGTTGCATTGAATTAATTAAATGAATTAGGCATTTACATCAGTAATTGAGAAAGCCCCCATAATAATAATGATTCAAAAGCATTATGGCAGTCGAGTTAACATTGAATAGACATTGTGTATTGTGAGCTGTTTTTTTACTATGTTAAGTATATTAAATGAACATGTTAAAGGCACAATATGTAACTTTTCACTGCTAGAGGTCGCATTTTCAAAACAATAACAAAGGCGAAGCTTGATGACGCTATGAAGGAGAGTGGAACGATGTGAGATGTCATTTTCACCATCCAGAGATGTCTGAATCATGTTCACGGATGTAATGATTTAATTTTTTATTACCTGTACCTTTCAACGTTATTCAAACAGCGAATAAATTATACTGAGAAAGCGAGCAAAGAACATTTACATTGTCAAGGAACAGTAGATGACTGACTTCAGTCTAGCGCGAGTTTAAGCACTCTCAAAAAAACTCCCCTTATAATCAGTAAAGCTGTGCACTGTTTGATGAATGCATCAAACAGTGAATACATCTGCACTTTGTTGTTTTTGATGAGAGAATTCGCGAGAGAGCAGAATTCAGTCAGCAAGCGCGCACTGAATCACCAGCGTTTCAGTGATGACTCATCTGAACACCTCTGATTGGCCATTGCATTCATAAGCTCAACAGACTCATGTGTGATTGGTTATAATGCGCAATACTGTAAAAATGTGTAAAAAGAATCATGGTGCAGCATTGAACAGATCTAAATTTATGCTGCGGTCAACACTTTTCATTTCATTTTCATTTTATTCGCGACAGACATAATGGGTTTAGTTTAACTGTACAGCAGCCTTTTTGTCCACCAGTGTTGCCATAGTTTCTAAAAGCGGAAACCAATAGTGCGGATATTACCTCATTGATAGGCGACAATGAACAGGGACGAGTCATTATTTAAAATTGGTATTTCTCTGGATTTACAATCTTAAGTACACAACTGCATGAAATATATAACACTGTGTAAGTGGTTTTTGGATATGTTATTACAAAAATCTTACATATTGTGCTTTTTAAACCAACATAATCAATAATTAATAAATACACACATTAATACATTTGATATTTTTTCATGATTAATAATGCTTGTTACCATCATGGTGAAGTCTGTCCTGTATGTCAGTCAATACTGCATTCCCTCATAGTCTTCAATACAAACACTCCATCATATCCTGCAGTGACCTGCCATTCAGACATGTTCTTCTCACAGGCAGCGCTGTTACCTCACATCACTTTATTAACTTCATCTTCATTCTGCATTTGTTTGAACTGTGCTGAGCCCCTCCTTTCCCCTTCCACTGACCCTGTAGAGCAAGCAGAGTCAGAGATGATGGCAGCACATTCTCACCCTCAATAATTCCTCTGGGCGTTCCTCTGAATGGCACATCTTTTCAAGCTTGACTTTTGATGTCTCAGGGGGTAGATCTCATTTTCATGCTTGTCTGCGCCATACAGTAGAGTATGAAAGACATTCTGGGGTCAGCAAGTTGACTTTACATGTAGGCTACAGAGAGTGTTGTACTGTACTTCTCCACCATCATGTTCAGAGTTTGTAACAGTTTCAGATGTTAAGTGTCAGTGTGTTATCGTATATCTGACGGTTTTTTCTTGTGTAGGGAAGTGACGGAGAGGCCGGACCCAGAGGTCAGCAGGGTATGTTTGGGCAGAAGGGAGATGAGGGGCCCCGTGGTTTCCCAGGTCTTCCCGGTCCCGTTGGACTGCAGGTAGAGTTATCATCTTTACATTAATCTAAACACGACTATTATGGATCTGCTTCGTGCATATTATTTAATTTACACAAAGCCCCACTGTTTGATATCATCTAAGACTGTGAGGCAGGATAATTGAGCAATGAGAGCCATTTTTAAAATCAATAGCCATTTTTAAAATCTGGATTCAATTATGTTGCTCTAAACATGGCTGATTGATTCCGCCACTTTCAGTTTACTTGACATTTTTAAGGTGAATTGTAATTTTTGTGCCACTAGCGCCACCAGTTGGATTTGAAAAAATAATTATTGCTTCTCAAAAGGATTCTTTGAACACTTCCTGTCTACCATTGGTCAAAAAAACAGAGTCCCACTCCAACTTCCCAAGTTCAAGTCACAAGCTGAGCCATTGTTGCAAACATTGAAACGTGAAAAGACTTTTCAGAGAAATCAGCTTACGAATTGTTTACTTATACACTACCAATCAAAAGTTTGGGGTCAGAAGATTGAATTACTTTTATTCAGCAAGGATGCATTACAGTAAAGACATTTATAATGTTACAAAAGATTTATATTTTAAATTAAAGCTGTTCTTTTGAACTTTCCATTCATCAAAGAATCCAGAAAAAAAATGTTATCATGGGTCCATAAAAATATTAAGTGATGTACATTTTTTAGCATTGATCATAAATACGAAATGTTTCTTGAGCACCAAATCAGCATATTAGAATGATTTCTGAAGGATCATGTGGCACTGAAGACTGGAGTATTGGCTGCTTCACCATCACCACCATTTTGAATTTTAAAAGAAAGTTTTTATTGATTTTAAAATTGTGATAATATTTCACAATATTATTGTTTTTACTGTAATTTTTTTTTAAATTTTACTGTGATTTGTTTGAGTCTAATTGATACATCCTTGGTGAAAACCATAAAAAAAATATTACAGACTCCAAATTTTTTAGTGATACTGTAGCTATCTCTGCGTATTAAGAAAGTATTATAAAATCAAAAAACATTACACACTTCACCTTTATGGGAATAATGAGGGAGTGATTTTCAAATGGCAACAGAGGCTGTTACTCTACACGGCAATATTACAGAGTCACGCAGAGCAATTGCCTGGTAATCAAAGGTAATAGGAATAGCGATTCATCCCAACTGTGCTAATTGTTTGTGCTCTGCGTCACCTTGTTAGTACCTTTCACTGGTCCTCTGCGATAATGATTTTTGATCCAAAGAAATTAACAATCTTAATTTGTTTTCTCTCAAGTTTTGAATAACTTGCTAATGAGAAGTCATTGGACTCTTAGAATGGAGACTGTTCATTATCTTTTCCAAACTCACTGTAAATATAACATGTGCATATATAAGCTGTTTGGCGGTTGGGAAAATTATTTCCCTCAAAATGGCTTTGAAATATTATTTCTGTCCTTTTATAGTAACACAACATTTATCACAACAATAAGCGGCAAGCTATGTGTTAGCAGGTACCAAAGAGCATGTCTGCCAAATACAATGACCCAGGATAGGCTTGTGATTACAGATGTTGACTATGAACAATGGAGAGACGTCTATTGGTATTGTTTGGTGATAATGATCTGAATCACATTCAAACCTCTTTAGTCAAGCTCAATTGTATTGCAAAATGAATTGCTTGCCAAGCTTTTCCTATTTTTGTATTTCATATTTTCAAAGTGACACCGGGTGCGACACATTCACAGGCACCCAAATGCAAATGCGTTAATTGCCATGAGGTTCCTTCTACTGCTAATTACCAAAAATTGTTATTTGATTAATAGTGTTTACCCGATGGCTCAGAGCTGTAAATGTATAATATTAATATTCAACACTATGAGACTGATTGTTATTCTAAATTGTCATGTTGCTCATGGGGGAAGAGGAAACATTAACGTATCCTCTCTTGCTACTGAAAGTTTTAGCATTTTTGAAATTGTAATGGGTGAATTCTTAACAGGGATTATGTAATTGTGCCTGATTAATATGTAAAACTTGTTTTCTTCTAGGGTTTGCCAGGACCACCAGGTGAGAAAGGAGAGAATGGCGACGTCGGCCCAATGGTAAGTTTTCAGTATCCTTGCTGTGCAGTGTTTACTATAGTTTTGTCATAATTAGTCTCAACTATGTACTAGACATGAATACTTGCTTTATTTAAATGCAATTACAACAAAAGTTTGTGAATGTACTATATATCTTTAATGTAATAGTGTCATAAAAACAGTTTTAAGGTGCAGTCACATTTACCATTGCTTATTAAAATTTTGTGGGTGGAATTTAGTCATTTCATTTGGAATTCACGCAACTGGGAGTTTCACGTGAGGTGAAAAAGCTCCCTGCGCCGAATTCACTCATGTTCAAGTCACACAAATTTACCATGTTGACCAACAGAAAACTGCTTGCTTTGAAAATGACGACTTCTGCTGTATGCATTGCTACAGTATTGACATTGGATAGTCAACTTTTTTGCCTGTGAAAATTTGCAGAATTACTGCTACTGCCACTGATTCATGAACAAAATATGCAGATTCTTGTAATAAATAGCTCATAATGATTTACCAACTTTTGGTTTGATTCGTCCATTGAATCTTCCTGAGTTTACTATCTTAATTGTTTGACGAACTGTTGTTTTCTTATAGGGTCCACCTGGTCCTCCAGGTCCCAGAGGTCCTCAAGGTCCTAGTGGAGCAGATGTGAGTTTAACTGTGAAATATTTGAATAGAACCTCTAGTGAATCAGAAAGAATTGAATCATCAATGTTGTTATTTGATTGACAGGGTGCTCCTGGCCCTCCCGGAGGTATTGGCGCAATGGGTGGAAATGGTGAAAAGGTGGGTATGTCTTACATAAATCTCTTTAAAGGGGACATCGGATGCTAAATTCACTTTTACATGGTGTTTGCACATAAATGTGTCTTAGCAGTGTGTGGGCACAGCCACCCTACAATGATAAAAATCCATTCACTCCTTTTTTTTAATCCCCAAAAAACCTAAACAGTCTCAATTTATCAAGCCAGGCCCACGACCGTTGATGGACTGTCCCGTATTAGCATATTTCTGCCCTCAACCAGTTGTACGCTGATCGCCATTTTCTCCACACACGAGCAGCTGTAGCGACATCAATTTCTCATAAGCAATGCAGGTGTTTTGTAGTTGGATGTAAAAGTGAACATAAGTGTGTTCATTTTCTCCCGACATCAGAGCCACTGAGGACGCAGTTGATTAGTTTTGTTTATGATGGTAACACACCACCGAATACACAAAAAAAACACAAGAGAGGGGCGGGGTGAGCAGTAGCTCATTATCATTTAAAGAGACATACACCGAAACGGGTTGCTGTGATCAGAGATGTTTTTGACAATGTAAAAAGGGTGTTGTTTTACACGACCATTGAGGAACTTTAACCAAAGTATGTTGCAGACATTTCATGAAGACCCTAAAAAATCATACCAGCTTGTGGAAAATGGGCATCCAATGCCCCCTTTAAAAACATTAATATACATAAATGTGTGTTATAATTATTATGGTGAATGTGCATAGATGTCACATGTAATAAAGACGAAGCAGAACTGAACTTGTTTCCCTTCATCTCTTCCCCTCAGGGTGAGAACGGTGAGGCAGGTAATCCAGGACCACCAGGAGAGCCTGGTACAGTAGTAAGTATTTGTTTAAGAGTTGTTGAGTCTGATTTTCTGAGTGTTTACTAGACGTGTTTGACCTGCATGTAATTGAGGCTAATCTATTGACATTCAATGAGCATAACTACACAAATCTTTGTTTTTAACTTAGAACACATTAAGCTAATGACCTTTAAGGTGTTAAGGCTGCTACAGTCCATTGCAGTGGATTTATTTGACCTCACTCTGCTTTAGAATGCCATGTGAATATTTTCCTCTAGCTCATATATGCTGAGGTGAACATCACTTGCATTCTAGATGGTTGCTGTTATCATCATCCTTTTTCACCCAGGGACATTATTTCAACCACTGCCTGCTGCACAAACCTGTTTTTGTGATACCATCTTAAATGCTGATGTTTGTCTGTTGGTCTCAATGCTTTTTGATACTAAATAGGATAGTAGATTTCTGCTTGCGTTAAAAGTTTAAGGCAATATGCAAAGTTAGTTTTAAAAACGCTTCTATACACTTATTATGTTACACTTGTTGCAGTAATGGGAATTTCAGTTCATTTTAATACTACTTCCTTAAATTCAAAATTTGAATTGCATTTCACGCTGTTGGCTACCTCAAATCAAATTAAGAAATTCAATTACTGAGGAACTAAGCAATAAGTAACCGTTATAATCTCTTTATAGCCAACATTTACAGTTATTCTCCCTCTTGGGCTTGAAAACAGCATAGCATCACCTTTGAATTACATATTTTGTAATTCAAAGGGTGTTTGTTGTGTCCTTCTATAGGGACCCAAAGGTGAGCTTGGAGAGAAAGGAGAAGCTGGCCCTCCTGGAGCTGCAGGACCCGCTGGTGCAAGAGGACCCCCTGGAGATGACGGTCCCAAAGGAAACCCAGTAAGTCTCCATCAATGACATCCCAGAAGCACCCTTCATCTATTACACAGAAATAATACTATATGATGACTGAATTGATCCATCATTTTTTTGTAATTTAGGGTCCCATTGGCTTCCCTGGAGATCCAGGTCCTCCTGGTGAGCCCGGAGCTGCTGTAAGTTCAATATGGAGACATTCAAACACAAGAGTGTATTCGCTTTGCAGCAGTAAAATAACTATTTCTGTGGAGAACAAATGCATTTTAAAATACTGGAAGCGATAGAGTGAGGGAAAAATGTGTGCAGCTCTTTTCCAAAGCACTTTATACATAAACATGTCAAAAACACATGTAGTTTAATGTGCCCAGGTTTCCACTCAAGCAACCTTTTTTTGCCCACGATGTTTAGCATATGTTATAGGCTTCAATGCACATTGTTTGAAGAAAAGCATTGTGCAAGATGTGGGCTATCAATCATACAAATAATCAACATGTCCTCAAAATAGTTATTAGTAACAGGTTTAATGTCCAAGAGCATATTAAGCAAATGTTGTGAGGAAACTCTAATATGATGTTTGATGGAAATGCAAATTGTGATGTAATGTCCTGTTTCACAAAGGGACTGGATGGCCTTCCTGGAGACAAGGGAGATGATGGAGAGGCCGGTCAGCCTGTGAGTGATGGTCGACTCTCACTGAAAATCATATTTTTTGTTCAAACATAATGAAACTTGGGAGTAATGCATTGAATGTTTACACCACAGGGTCCACCTGGTCCATCTGGTGAAGCTGGTCCTCCAGGACCCCCTGGAAAGCGAGTGAGTACAACTTTGGACTGACAGTTGTTGGCTGACTGGTTATATCTAGAAATGCATACATTTTTGAAAAAGCATACAAATAGTTCTAATTTATATTGTGCTATGAAACATGTACAATGTATAATGGACTAATGATGATTCTAAAAGAAAATGTGCTGAGATCTTACTGATCCTACTCATATTTTAAAGGGGTCATATGATGCAATTTCAAGTTTTCCTTTCTCTTTGGAGTGTTACAAGCTGATTGTGCATAGATAAGATCCCTGAAGTTGCAAAGACTAAAGTCTCAAAACCAAAGAGATATTCTTTATCAAAGTTAAGACTCTGCCACGCCCCCCTAAAACGGCTCGTTCTAACACGCCCCCACATATCTACCACACTAT